CTCTGAAGCATTTATTTGGGCTGCAACTTCTGAGGCTGGTAACTAATGAACTTATCCTCTGCAGTAGAGGTAACTCTGGGTCTTCCTTTCCTGTGGCGGTCCTCATGAGAGCCAGTTTCATCATAGCGCTTGATGGTTGTTGCGACTGCACTTGAAACTTTAAAAGTTCTTGAAATGTTCCGTATTGACTGACCTTCATGTCTTAAAGTAATGATGGACTGTCGTTTCTCTTTGCTTATTTGAGCTGTTCTTGCCATAATATTGACTTGGTCTTTTACCAAATAGGGCTATGTTCTGTATACCACCCCTACCTTGTCACAACACAGCTGATTGACTCAAACGCATTAAGTTAAATTAACTTTTAAGAAGGCACACGTGTTAATTGAAATGCATTCCAGGTGACTACCTCATGAAGCTGGTTGAGAGAATGCCAAGAGTGTGCAAAGCTGTCTTCAAAGCAAAGGGTGGCTATTTGAAGAATCTCAAATATAAAATATATTTGGATTTGTTTAACACTTTTTTGGTTACTACATGATTCCATATGTGTTATTTCATAGTTTTGATGTCATCACTATTATTCTACAATGTAGAAAATAGTAAAAAATAAAGAAAAACCCTTGAATGAGTAGGTGTTCTAAAACTTTTGACTGGTAGTGTAGAGTATAGTTCAGTACAGTACATTTCTGCAGCATTGAAGGTCACCAAGAACTCAGAGGCCTCCATTATTCTTAAATGGAAGAAGTTTGAAACCACCAACACTCTTCCTAGAGCTGGCCAACCGGCCAAATTGAACAAATCGGGGGAGAAGGGCCTTGGTCAGGGAGGTGACAAAGAACCCGATGGTCACTCTGACAGAGCTCTAGAGTTCCTGTGTGGAGATGGGAGAACCTTCCAGAAGGACAACCATCTTTGCAGCACTCCACCAATCAGGCCTTTATGGTAGAGTGGCCAGACAGAAGCCACTCCTCAGTAAAAGGCACGTGACAGCCCACTTGGAGTTTGCCAAAAGGCACCTAAAGACTCTCAGACCATGAGACACAAGATTCTCTGGTCTGATGAAACCAAGATTGAACTCTTTGGCCTGAATGCCAAGCGTCACGTCTGGAGGAAACCTGGCACCATCCCTACTTTGAAGCATAGTGGTGGCATCATCATGTTGTGGGGATGTTTTTCAGCGGCAGGGACTGGGAGACTAGTCAGGATCGAGGAAAAGATGAATGGAGCAATGTACAGAGAGATCCTTGATGAAAACCGTCTCCAGAGTGCTCAGGACCTCAGACTGGGGCAAGGTTCACCTTCCAACAGGACAATGACCGTGAGCACACAGCCAAGACAACGCAGGAGTGGCTTCGGGACAAGTCTCTGCATGTCTTTGAGTGGCCCAGCCAGAGCCCGGACTTGAACCCGATCTAACATCTCTGGAGAGACCTGAAAATAGCTGTGCAGCAACGCTCCCCATCCAACCTGACAGAGCTTGAGAGGATCTGCAGAGAAGAATGGGAGAAACTCCGCAAATACAGGTGTGCCAATCTTGTATCGTCATACCCAAGAAGACTCGAGGCTGTAATTCTTGCCAAAGGTGCTTCAACAAAATACTGAATAAAGGGTCTGAATACTTAAGTAAATGTGATATTTCCGTTTTTATTTTTCATAAATTAGCAAAAATAACTGATATATCCTAACAAGACTAACTCAAAAGGACACAGTGACTCCACCGGCTCTGCGTCGCACCCAACGGCGAGCATCATAAACACCACAAAGCTTCAACTGCAATTACTCTACCTACACACTTAACGCTACCCCAGAAATCACTCCTTTCAATGGTGCCCTGTTCCTAAGAGCAAAGCAAGAAACAGATCTTGACCCTAGTTGCGTGACACAGAGCGCCCGCTCTCTCTAGTCAGAAGAAACACAAACAAATATTCACTACAGGTTACCTTCACTGATTCAACTGCACCCAACTCCTTTCCCACCCACCCTGAAACCACAAATGGATCTGCCAAAAGGCAAGGATCCACTATCTCCAAAAATGTCACTCCTACTGGACCAGATTATTCTTTATCATGTCCATTGATGCCAGGCTCGGGTTTCAAGCTCTTCACCACATCTTCCACTTCACTTAACTTGCCCTCATTCAGTTCCATTTCACCCAAAGAACTCGGTCTGGCGCATGGCTCACTCTGTCTGCACTTGACGCCACTCCATCTCCATTTTTATCACCATCTTCCTCAAATTCAAATCCAACCTCTGCTTTCCTCATTCTCTTCAACCTCTTCTTCGTATTTCCCCACCCCTCCATTCCTCCTAAGAAATCCACGTTTCTGTGTCCCTGTCCCAATATTCCTCTTCTTCCGACTTTGCTTGCGGCCTGGTGGCATCCCGACGTCTCATAATCGTCCTGCTCACCTCGTAAGTGTGTCTTCTCCGGGCGCCAACATTTTGAGAGCATGAGCAGTGGCCACACACAGAAAAATGACACCCAAACTCAACTCCGTCACGGCGGAAAACCTTCAGCTCTCTCTTGATACACAGCTCCTGCGCTTTTCGTGGATGGGCCCCATGCGAATTCATATTGCTGTCAATAACCACGTTTCCATCCAACCATTTAATGCGGATGAATTACCTGACGCATGAAAAAAGTCACGACCGTGCTGATGAAAACATGAAATGCCGGTACAATTTTATGCCAACAGACAATTTGTTCGTTCGACATGGTATCTTTTTGTTTCTGTAAAATTAATTATGTGAAAAATGGTGGTGGAAACGCAAATATTGATATAATAAACTAGCTAGTAATCTTGTTTCCATTCAGTTTATATGCGAGTAAAGTCATACCATATAGAAAAAAAATCACGACAGCTGTGATGGAAACAGGAAGTTCGTACCATTTATTTAAATGCCGACAGATTGTACGTTTGAAATGGTGGGTTCTTTTTATGTCTAAAATATATTATGCGAGAAATGACGTTGGAAATGCCTTTATGCGCAAATATTGATATGATGGTTATATTGAAGTAAACTTGGGAGTCACGAATGACATGTTGTGTGGTCCTCCCACTACGACTTGTCGGGAAAGCATGCAGTTTGAGGCTACAGATTAAATAAATGATGATGAACTTCACATGGTGGTGAAAGTGCAAGGTGATGAGCTTGATGCACCTTTCCAATAAATATTAAGGGTCTTATTCTGGTGACATGATAATCGATGCCATTTGACAAATAAAAATAATCACGCTCTTTTGTCCATGATGATGATAATAATCTCATAATGTAGGCTATATGTGCGCTCTAGCCAACAGCGTGCAGATAGCACTGTTTGCTAAAGCGCAAGTGCCAATACCAGACTATATAACGCTACATTTCTGTGAGAAAACCATCAGTAGAGTTAAATGCGATGGAAACCCATTTAACTTGTATTTTTTATTCGGTAACAGCAATAAGTATTTTTATGTGCACTACGTCATCATGCACATCCTTTTATCTGCAAGAAGTCAATTTGATGGAAACAACACTGGTGGGAAAATGTTTTCATGTGGATTGTAGAATATTCGCATAAACCTGTCGCCAATTGGATGGAAACCTAGCTAGTGTCTGTGTGAGTAAAGGGATGATATTGTGTGACTAATGTCGTAGCTATATGCCTTCTTTTAGGGAAACAGAGGGAGTACCAAGCACTGCCATCCGAGAGATATCGCTCCTCAAAGAGCTCAGCCACCCAAATATTGTCAAGTATGTACAATTAAGCTACTTATGTTAAACACCAACTGTCTCTGTTAAATTGTGCTTACATTGACATCTCTATGTACTTTCACCCTGACAGGCTCTGTGATGTCATCCACACGGAGAACAAACTGTACCTGGTTTTTGAGTTCCTTCATCAGGACCTTAAGAAGTTCATGGACTCCTCCTCGGTCTCTGGTATCCCTCTGCCACTTGTCAAGGTACGCACATCCAACTTGTTCAGTTGAAGAAAAATAAAAAAGGCTTATAAAAGGAGTGATATGCCCCCATTGTGATTTAGGAAACGCACAAAACAATGTCTCCATCCCATTTGGGTCTTTGTCAGGTTGGCATATCATCTAACAACTGCTTTGCAATGTTATCAAGGTGAAAGAGCCAAGTGAAAAGTATACAGTTGAAGTCGGAAATTTACATACACCTTAGCCAAATACATTTAAACTCAGTTTTTCACAATTCCTGACATTTAATCCTAGTAAACATTCCCTGTCTTAGGTCAGTTAGGATCACCACTCTATTTTAAGAATGTGAAATGTCAGAATAATAGTAGAGAGAATGATTTATTTCAGCTTTGATTTCTTTCATCACATTCCCAGTGGGTCAGAAGTATACATACACTCAATTAGTATTTGGTAGCATTGCCTTTCAATTGTTTAACTTGGGTCAAACGTTTCGGGTAGCCTTCCAAAAGCTTCCCACAATAAATTGGGTGAATTATGGCCAATTCCTCCTGACAGAGCTGGTGTAACTGAGTCATGTTTGTAGGCCTCCTTGCTCGCACACGCTTTTTCAGTTCTGCCCACAACTTTTCTATAGGATTGAGGTCAGGGCTTTGTGATGGCCACTCCAATACCTTGACTTTGTCCTTAAGCCATTTTGCCACAACTTTGGAAGTATGGGTCATTGTCCATTTGGAAGACCCATTTGCAACCAAGCTTTAACTTCCTGACTGATGTCTTGAGATGTTGCTTCAATATATCCACATACTTTTCCTTCCTCATGATGCCATCTATTTTGTGAAGTGCACCAGTCCCCCCTGCAGCAAAGCACCCCCACAGCATGATGCTGCCACCCCTGTGCTTCACAGTTGGGATGGTGTTCTTCGGCTTGCAAGGGACCCCCTTTTTCCTCCAAACATAACGATGGTCATTATGGCCAAACAGTTCTATTTTTGTTTCATCAGACCAGAGGACATTTCTCCAAAAAGTATTGGAGATGTGCAGTTGCAAACTGTACTCTGGCTTTTTTATGGCGGTTTTGGAGCAGTGGCTTCTTCCTTGCTGAGCGGCTTTTCAGGTTATGTCGATATAGGACTCATTTTACTGTGGATATAGATACTTTTGTACCTCTTTCCTCCAGCATCTTCACAAGGTCCTTTGCTGTTGTTCTGGGATTGATTTGCACTTTTCGCACCAAGGTACGTTCATCTCTAGGAGACAGAACGCATCTCCTTCCTGAGCGGTATGACGGCTGTGTGGTCCCATGGTGTTTATACTTGCGTACTGTTGTACAGATGAACGTGGTACCTTCAGGCGTTTGGAAATTGCTCCCAAGGATGAATCAGACTTGTGGAGGTCTACAAATTTTTTTCTGAGGTCTTGGCTGATTTCTTTTGATTTTCCCATGATGTCAAGCAAAGAGGCACTGAGTTTGAAGGTAGGCATTGAAATACATCCACAGGTACACCTCCAATTGACTCAAAAGATGTCAATTAGCCTATCAGAAGCTTCTAAAGCCATGACATCATTTTCTGGAATTTTCCAAGCTGTTTAAAGGCACAGTCAACTTAGTGTATGTAACTTCTGACCCACTGGAATTGTGATACAGTGAAATAATCTGTCTGTAAACAATTGTTGGAAAAATTACTTGTGTCATGCACAAAGTAGATGTCCTAACCGACTTGCCAAAACTATAGTTTGTTAACAAGAAATTTGTGGAGTGGTTGAAAAACGAGTTTTAATGACTCCAACCTGTGTATGTAAACTTCCGACTTCATCTGTATGAATGGGAATTGTTTGAATATTTCCAAACTAAAACATTGTTTCTGTATGTGTAATGTTGTTGTGGTTTTGTTTATTACCAGGTCGTAGCATTACTTTTTTTGTAGATTTTGTATGCCAGTGCTTCATATATTTTGTCACATTAAATAACAATATGGAAACCTACGAGGTTGTCTGACTGTGTGCCTCTCTCTTAAGCTAATTAGGTGTGTATGTTTTGTGTGTGTGCAGAGTTACCTGTTCCAGCTGCTGCAGGGCCTGGCCTTCTGTCACTCCCACAGGGTTCTCCATCGGGACCTGAAGCCCCAGAACCTGCTCATTAACGCCCAGGGGGAGATCAAGCTGGCTGACTTCGGCCTGGCTAGGGCCTTTGGGGTGCCTGTCCGCACCTACACTCATGAGGTGAAGCATACACCCACCATACAGAATACATATACCACACTGTATTTTGCTGTGTTTTTTAGTTGGCCAATGGCTAGCAACATGAGTCTTTAGTGTTTCACTTGTGTTATGCTGCTGTAAGTATCTCAAATTATTTCTGAACCCATGATGGGGAAGCTAACGTTTTAGCATGTCTCAGGTGGTAACTCTATGGTACCGAGCTCCAGAAATTCTCTTGGGTTGCAAATACTACTCCACACCGGTTGACATCTGGAGTTTGGGCTGCATCTTTGCTGAAATGGTAAATGTATTCTCTGGCTATACTATTTTGTAGCTTTAACATTTATAAAGCAAGGTCTCACTTTATGTCCAAACCTTCCAATTGTTCCTTCAGATCACCAGGAGGGCCTTGTTTCCAGGCGACTCAGAGATCGATCAGCTGTTCCGGATCTTCCGTACCCTGGGCACACCGGACGAGGCGGCCTGGCCAGGGGTCACTTCCATGCCAGACTACAAGCCATCCTTCCCCAAGTGGGCCCGGCAGGAGCTGTCCAAAGTGGTGCCCCCTCTGGATGATAACGGAAGAGAGCTGCTCAGGGTGAGAACTCTAACAACATTGACCACTTTAATTATGTTTTGGTATTAGGCTGGTACCAATAAGGTTAATAATGGGCAGAATCTACTGCACATCCAAAGCTGATTTGTAAAGATACTGGAGGCAAAAGGCAAAACAGGAAAAAGTATCCGCGCACTTCCAGTCAGATGTACATTTATTCTAATTATAGCTGAGCTTTCGGTCAGTCGACCTTCATCAGAGCATATCTCCACAAACAACAGTGGGACAGATAAGGCCACACAGCGAGCCAGAGGTAATTGCAGATACCTGTGGTAATCGAAAGTACCCAAAAGGGCCACTAGATGTCATCACATAGAAAGTCATGATAGAACAGAATATGTTATAGATGTATTTCTACTAGAACAAAACACATGTACACAGGGAATGTGGTGTTAGTATAAGGAACCCATACTCTCAAAGAGAGCAATAAAGCTGAAAAACTGTGAAAGAAAAGGAAAACATACAACACTATATACATATGTAGAACCAGGGGAAATCTAGAAAACAACTAGATAAAGGTTAAGGTAACCTGTCGGGGAAGTATCGGGCCACTAGGGCCGTCATGAATACAGGACACCCTAATACCAGGGAGGGGGTGTGTGTGTGTGTGTGGCTCAGAGGATGACAATAGGAATTACAACATGACCCTCATATCAAAATCCTCATTAAGTCCTTACGGCTGTAAGGTGCCTAAAGTATGAAACCAGAAGAGTTCTCTCTGGCAGAGTTTACGGTAGTTTTCTCCTCTTTATTAATAGGGTTAATAAAATAGAATTAATTGAAATTAGTGCTCAGAGCTACACTTTGCTTTCACATAGGCCTATGACACATGTAATCGATATGTCCCTTTTATGACGTATTTGTTCTTTCTTATTTTTCCAGCAAATGCTGAGCTATGACCCAAACAAGAGGATATCTGCCAAAAATGCCCTCGTCCATCGGTTTTTCCGTGATGTCACCATGCCAATGCCACACCTACGACTGTGAGACATGCAGACTGACAGGAACAATACATAGCCCAGGGTCTTTCCATGAGAGATCCCTGAGCAGAAGGACTGCCCCAGCTCTTATCCACACCTGAATACTACAGTCCAGGAGATGGGAGAGATCACAGTGAAATATGGGTGCCTTTCCAAAAATCATTCTAGCAGCCAAAACCAGCATTTTAATAAATTAGATGTCCTGTGAGTTTTTTTCTCTACAGCTATGAGTGCCTGTTATGTCATGGAGAATGAACTCTACAATTATTACAGCATTTTATGTGTGTTGAAAGGGTTAACTTGGTTTGTGGGAGGGGGGGATGTACATTTACATTTTAGTCATTTAGCAGATGCAAGCTCTTTATTCGTTCATTGCATAATTTATGATAGTTTATTAAATTCATTTGAGGTTTATATTGTGTGAAAATATTTGAATATTACTCATTTGGCCTGTGTTATAACCTCACTGGCAGTAAATCCTATTTAGCATATTTTTAATCTAGGCTTGACATAGGAAATCTGAATAATGCTGCATTCGTAACCAAGTGGGAGGTGGGAATTTACCAGTTGTAAAGTCGTAAATACCAGTTGGATGCATTCACGTGCTTTGAACTTGTTGAGCAACGCTGATTTGGCTAATGGCCAACAAGCTGCCTAAACCATAAACTAAAAGTACATCTATCATGCTTGTAAACAAATTAGTTTAAAAAACATAGTTGCTTTTTATAATGTTTTGTTGCATTTAACTGCCGAAAATGCAGTTAGAGGTAATTTCCATAGTAGGTCACGTCAGAGGTCAGCATGTGGGAGAAGTGGGAGCTCATGATAGAAGAGTTTCCCACTAGCAATTACCAGTTGGAGGGCCATTCAATTGGATTGTTCCCAGTCCTATGTGGTAAATTTCAACTTCCCACTTGGATATGAGTGGGAAACTCCTATAAATTCTCCCACATGCTGACCACTGACCTCACCTACTAAGGAAATGACCTCGGTAACAGCATTTTCTGCAGTTAAATGCAACAAAACATTTATAAAAAGTAATCTATTAATATGGCTTTTGAACACTAATTTCTTTACAAGCATGATAGCTTTACTTTTAGTTTGTTTTATGCAGCTTGTTGTGGGGCTGGTTTGGATATGACAGCCTAATACGGACAGAAGCATGTCTGTTCTACAAAATATATAACCAAATATTTTTATTTTACGCTGTGTGCACTGAACTGACATGCATGATGTTGATGACACTCCGATGTTCAGATGAAGGGAATTAAATAGTCTATAATAGTCGCTCTGGATAAGAGCGTCTGCTAAATGACGTAAATGTATAATGCGCACCACAGCAGCGCTGAACTCAGTGGTTTGTAGCCTATTGTAGCTGCTGGCAAAGTAATTCAAAGCCTACAGTGCTGTGAAAAAGTCCAGACCTAATCCCAATTGAGATGTTGTGGCAGGTCTTGAAACGAGCCGTTCATGCTTGAAAAACCCACAAATGTCACTGAGTTAAAGCAGTTTTGCATGCAAGAGTGGGCCATAATTCCTCCACAATTATGTGAGAGACTGATTAACAACTACAGGAAGCATTTGGTTGCATTTGGTTGCAGCTAAAGGTGGCACAACCAGTTATTGAGTGCAAGGGGGCAATTACTTTTGGGTGTTGTATAACTTTTTAAAAAAAAATAATAAACATACATTTTTGTTATTTGTAAACTCAGGGTCCCTTTATCTAATTATTAGGTTTTGGTTGACGATCTGACAACATTCAGTATCAAAAATAGAGAAAATCAGAAAGGGGGCAAATACTTTTTCACAGCAGGATGTAACTTTCCAGTGGTACTTTTTTTGCCATGTAATATTGTTATTAAAACAAAATCAGACAACCCCATAGTAGAATAGCTAAATTACTTAAATGTAAATGCAGATGAACAAAACGCATGCTTCAGCCTATGTACATTTTATAGCCACTATGCTTCATCAGTTGGGATACAAGTCATAATGCTTACACCTGATAATATAGACTATGCGTAGGCTATATGCATGGTACAATATGTTAAAATAATTTTACCAATATGTTATTGGGCCCATTTCTGGAGGTGGAATTTATGTTTTAGATGGTGTCAACATTTTATTTTCATTAATTTTGAAGTAGAATGTCCTTTTAAAAAGAACTGAGCTTCTCAGTTGGTCAAATTCGCAGTTTAATACATTTATTTATTTATTTATTATCCCCTTTCCCTAAAAGCATGGTGGTCATGGCTTTCTTACATGAAAGGGGAGGTTAACTTGGACTCCTCAGTCATGGGATTTTCTTTAACCCATGTGAATGCATCCAACTGGTAAATTCCCACCTCCCACTTAGTTATGAACGAAGCATAAGGCCCAATCACAAATCGACCCCTTAACCCTATGCACTTCTGAGAGGATTTGATTGGTATAAGCAATATGGCGAAACTTCCATGTATCCTACAGAAGGCAAGGTTATGATTATCATATTGCTTACATCTGTCGAATCCACTCAGATCTCCACAAATGCATAGGGTGGGATTGGGCCTAAATTAGATTTTGGGCTGGATCAAAGATGTTCTATTATATTGAGAAGATAGTCGAGTGACCGCTCTAACAATGTAAATGTGTGTCCTCAAATATAGAAGTCAGGTGGGAGGAGGCAAGATCAGGTGGGACCATAGAATACCACAGTATGAGTCATAATACCCATAAAACCTAGCGGTCAAACAGGGAAATGGTTCCAATTGTTTTTCCCCAAAAAAAATCCAAAGGGGATTTTAGAATCACTTTAAATAAGCATTTCAACCATAAACGCAGCTTGTTGGCCATTCGCTAACCTAACGTAGCAGGCATAAAATAAACTCCTGTAACTATATATCCTACATACTGGTCTTGACGAGAAGGAAAAAAACAGTTGGGGGAAGTTCTCTTCTGCACTGTTGAACCAATCCAGTAAATGTGGAGAAGTTAAGATGGAGTGTCGCCTCGCTAATGTCCAAAAGCGGAAGTCGTGTCACAGGCTCTCTTTCCATTTCCCCTGAAAACCGGAACATCCGTTTGTTGGGGACTCGGCAGAGGCTATCCATTAGCCAATCAGTGTTTCTCAAGGAGTTAAAAGCATGTGAATGCGTCCAACTGGTATTTACGACTTCACAACTTATAACTTTCCCACTTGGTTATGAATGCAGCATCATTATACACTACATTACCAAAAGTATGTGGACAGCTGCTCGTCAAACGTCTTATTCCAAAATCATGGGCATTAATTTGGAGTTGGTCCCCCCTTTGCTACTATAACAGCCTCCACTCTTCTGGGAAGGCTTTCCACTAGATGTTAGAACATTGCTGCGCAGACTTGCTTCCATTCAGCCACAAGAGCATTAGTGAGGTCGGGCACTGATGTTGGGCGATTAGGCCTGACTCGCAGTCGGCGTTCCAATTCATCCCAAAGGTGTTCGATGGGGTTGAGGTCAGGGCTCTGTGCAGGCCAGTCAAGTTCTTCCACACCAATCTCGACAAACCATTTCTGGGCAGGTAGCGTTCTCCTGCCATCCGTCAAACCGAGATTCTCCCGTCAGACTGCCAGATGGTAAAGCGTGATTAATCACTCCAGAGAATACGTTTCCACTGCTCCAGAGTGTAATGGCAACGAACTGTGTGCGGCTGCTCGGCCATAGAAACCCATTTCATGAAGCTCCTGACGAACAGTTCTTGTGCTGACGTTGCTTCCAGAGGCAGTTTGGAACTCGCTAGTGAGTGTTGCAACCGAGGACAGATTATTTTTATGCACTTCACCACACCGCGGTCCTGTTCTGTGAGCTTCTGTGGCCTACCACTTCCCGGCTGAGCCTTGTTGCTCCTAGATGTTTCCACTTCACAATAACAGCACTTACAGTTGACTGGGGAAGCTCTAGCAGGGCAGACATTTTACGAACTGAAGGTGGCATCCTATGACGGTGCCATGTTGAAAGTCACTGAGCCCTTCAGTAAGCCCATTCTACTGCCAATGTTTGTCTATGGAAATTGCATGACTGTGCTCGATTTTATACACTTGTCAGCAACTGATGTGGCTTAAATAGCCGAATCCACTAATTTGAAGGGGTGTCCACATATTTTTGTAGATATAGTGACCATAATTATATCCTCCTGATTCCTGCTTGCAAGCAAAAACTAAAGCAGGAATTAAAAGTGACTCGCTCAATACGGAAGTGCTCAGATGATGCAGATGCTACGCTACAGGACTGTTTTGCTAGCACAGACTGGAATATGTTCCGGGATTCATCCAATGGCATTGAGGAGTATACCACCTCAGTCACCAGCTTCATCAATAAGTGCATCGATGACGTCGTCCCCACAGTGACCGTACGTACATATCCCAACTAGAAGCCATGGATTACAGGCAACATCTGCACGAAGCTAAAGGCTAGATCTGCCGCTTTCAAGGAGCGGGACACTAATCCGGACACTTATAAGAAATCCTGCTATACCCTCAGACGAACCATCAAACAGGCAAAGCGTCAATACAGGAGTAAGATTTAATCCTACTACACTGGCTCTGACACTCGTCGGATGTGGCAGGGCTTGCAAACTATTACGGACTACAAAGGGAAACCCAGCCGCGAGCTGCCCAGTGACGCGAGCCTACCAGACGGGCTAAATGCCTTTTATGCTCGCTTCGAGGCAAGCAACACTGAAGCATGCATGAGAGCACCAGCTGTTCCAGGCGACTGTGTGATCATGCTCTCCGTAGCCGATGTGAGCAAGACCTTTAAATAGGTCAACATTCACAAGGCCGCGGGGCCAGATGGATTACCAGGACGTGTACTCCGAGCATGCGCGGACCAACTGGCAAGTGTCTTCACTGACATTTTCAACCTCTCCCTGACTGAGTCTGTAATACCAAAATTTTCCAAGCAGACCACCATAGTCCCTGTGCCCAAGAAAGCGAAGGTAACCTGCCTAAATGACTACTGCCCCGTAGCACTCACGTCGGTAGCCATGAAG